CTTTCTTGCCTTCGTGTTATTGGTAAATTGTCGTAAAGCATGATGTCCTGCTCTGACGATGTCCGTCACATGACGAACATAAGCTCAGCAAGGATTCATTGGGTTCGCAGGGCGGTGCGCTGATGACCTATTCACAAAAATCTACAACCACAGCCTCCGGTGGAACCAACTTACGAATCCCTTCCACTTGCCTCCTCAAAGGATATAAAAGGTACTTCAACAAAGCTAGTATTAAGTTATCGCCTACACTACTCTATTGGTTACTCACCATTAAAAAAAGATTTTGCCATCACTGATTTCTGATTGACAACACATATCCTCCTTGCCCTTCTACACAGCATTCCTTCGTGGCGCCTCGCATTATTACGCCACTCATCATACTAAATCGGTTTCTTCTTTACCTATTATTCGCTTTCACTAGTGTTCCTAAATTATTAATTCGCTATATGGACGAATACTTTGCTATTTGGCAGCATGGCAAAGAAAACCAGGACAATTAGTTTGGCTTGATGAACAGGATCGATGGGAAGATGAAATTCACCATCGAGTTAGAAATTGAGGGTGGTTTACCATTTCTTGATGTTCTAGTTAGTCATCCGAGAGCGAATGTACGATCAAAAACTGTTAATTTAGAATATATCATGGATATATCCTATGACAAAATGTAAATGCAACATAGTTTATAACATTAAGGATGGCATTAATGAGGAATGATTTCCTGAGGGATTCGGAGTGAATAAGAGTATTCCTGAATGTGTAATATTCAAGAACCGATGAGTTTGCCTTAGTTTAGAGTCAGTTGGCTAAGCTCAGACTTAATGGGAGTATACGTTTGGTTTAATGTCTGCCAAACTGCCTTGCTTACCATTTGTTTTGTGTGCAACAGCTCGCGCTTGGCTCGAACAGCGGATAGTGCGCAAAGACATACTGAAGTACTGCTTTTCTCTGCATAGGGTTGGCGGCGCTGCAAAAGACCCGGCAACAACGAAGTAGTCGTCTGTAGGGCCGAAGAGTAGAAGGAAGAGGATGCAGATGAATGTGAAATGGACGTCGACTGGGTATGAGGTCTACGAGGTGCACCCGTATCGTCGACAGGGCAGCAGATACATGCTGTGAGAATAGCCAGATCACCCTCGAAGCTGCGCGCAAGCTGACTAGTGAGCGTAGGCCGGATATTTCGAGGCTGGATCGTACGTCGATGCCAGCTAGTAAGTTGGTTCAGATTATCGGTTGTGGCCACAACAGGGGCTTCTGAAAAAGCCATTGCATGGGCAGCAGTCGCCTCAGATGAGGATGAGACAGTAGTGGTAGAGATCTCTTTATCAC